GGGCGGGGCAGGGTCCCCTTGGCGCCCAGCTAGGCACTGAACCAAAACAGCTGCGCTCCGATACCCTGAAGGCTCAACGACAAGCCATCCCCGCTTGCAGGAGCAAAAGTAATGCCACTGCCCTGAAACCCCACGCTCGTGGGGAAGTTATAAATGTGGGTTGTATTAGTGTACTAATCAGATCATAAATTTGGAAATAGTTAATGTTTTAGTTTTGCTGAGTGAAAATAGCAGTCAAATCGCAGATCAGATCTTGTAACTGGAGTAATGCAGTGGTGAATTAAAACCCCCTGAGTGTAGGTGTCTGATCCCTTAGCATTATGAAAAATGGAAATCTTGCTACTGGCTTTAAAGAGCACAAGGTGAATTTAACCGAAGTTGTAAAATATTACTCAAGCAGCCACATACTTGGCAGATAATAATAAAAAAACATGATTTGTTAGTCGTGTGCCAGGCACCCACATCATCCCAGAGGGCAAGCACTGCCCCAGCCTCCTCCTCCAAGTGCCCAGGATGTGCCTGCCACAGCTAGAAGCTGAGGTCAGACCTCCTAACACTCAGCCTAGTGCCATGCCTGTGAAAATGTCCTGTTTCTGTTTGCGAAATGTGTGGTCCTTCTGTTCTCGCAATGTCATTCTTTCTTTTTTCCCATGCATCAGACTGTTGCTGAGCCAGCCTATTCAGCCCATGATGCCTGGGTCCTGTAATGCAAGACACTCTTCAGACCTCAGCATGGCAGGATCCCAGGCTAAGTATGTGACTTGTCAAAGATAAAACATCAAAGTTGCTTTTGAGGGGAAATGGCCTTCTTTCGTAAGATGACAAAGTAGTTATAAATATCATGAATGTGTTACTGTGCCAAGCCTGCCTTCCAGTGTCAGGCTCAGCCTTACTCTGCCTGGTTACATCAGGAAGGATGACAGAGAGAAATACAATGTGCCAGTAGCATTTTAACAAGCCATGGCTGGGGAAATTTTTGCCCCTCACATGCTGCTTGCTTCAGCACTGGAACTTCTGACCCATCACAATAAATGTGAGAGAGAAAGTCAGCACTGACCTGGTTGAAATGACTGGTGCCATGAAAACCCCTGCTCTCTAGGCACTGAGCCACTGGTGTTATGCCAGTGGAGCTGTACCTGATCTACAACAGCAGAACTGAAGAACCAACAGGCCCCTGCCCTCATAAAAGGTGCTGAACAAACCACTTCAGTTGTTTGTCTCCTCAAAACTTAGAGGAAGGAAGCAGAACACCAGTCAGACTCTGACTTTTTTTTTTTTTGGCTGTGTTTTGTCACTATACTGTACTTAATTGGGAATTGCGAGAATAATAGGCAGCTCTTTGTACCTCATTACTTCAAAAATAATTCTGTATGTTACCTCAGGAATGTAGGTATTCAGTACTTCTTTTTTTTAAACATTGTTTATTGCTGTTTAAGATTGTCTTGAGTTATGTTTGTCAAATTTAAATATTGTAAATCTGCTTTTATGCCTCTGAATAAAAGAGGCCTTATTTGCAAAGATGGATCTCCCAGTTCACATAGACTTCCTGACTCATGGGACTCTTTTATAGGAGCTCACATCCCAGTACAAGTACCCAGACTGTAGCATTTCTGACTAACCCCTAATGTTGAACAGCTGTTGAGTGAACACAAGCCACACTATGATCTCATCACCCATTACAGGATAAACAGAATTAGGCTGGGTTGGCAATAGTTCCATTGTGGTTTTGCCCACAGCCTTCCACTAAAAAACACATATTAAAGCTTTGCTATGCAAAAACAGAATGGCAAGAGGAGATGACTATTTTGTTTCTGTCCCATCCCTCACTCCAGAGGCTTTCTAGAGGCTTCTTCTGTTCCTACAATGGGGCTCATGGTGATGGGAACTGCTGACCGTACTTGGCAATATGTGTATGAGCAGCTTAAGAAGTAATCAACCCCAGCCATGTTTCTGCAGGAGATCACCACCCCACAGGCAGTCACAGGGGAGCACAGGCAGCAGGACAGGAGGTGCATTTACGTCTCTCTTGCTGCAGTTCAGAGCTCAGCATATTAAAACAGAATCAAAGGCCATTTGGTTTAATGAGCTTGGAATGTGAATGCTGTGGCTGAAGAGAAGACATACATAAACCAGAATCTTTAATGAACCTAAAATGTGATCTGGATTTTGAGGTGAGATACATTCTTCCCTCCAAGCCCAGCTCATGCACACAGTAAGGGAAAACAGTGCTGCCAATGGTGCTGTCATTCATATTAGCAGGTCCCATGCATGAGAATCCTTTATTGGGAATTATTTGGGGTTTTTCAGCCTGGAGAAGAGAAGGTCAGGGTAGATCTGACAGCAGCCTTCCAGTACCTAAAATGGGCTACAAGTGAGCTGGGGAGGAACTTTGTACAAGTGTACATAGTGATAAGACAAGAGGTAATGGGTTTAAACTGAGAGTCGGTTTAGATCATATATTATGAAGAAATTCCTACTGTGAGCATGGGAGGCACTGGAACAGGTTGCCCTGAGAGGCTGTGGATACCCTATCCCTGGAAGTGTTCAAAGCTAGGCTGGATGGGGCTTTGAGAAACCTGGTCCAGTGGAAAGTGTCCCTGTCCATGGCGTGGGGGCTTGGCACTAGATGATCTATAGGTTTCCTTCCAACCCAAACCATTCTGTGATTCAGTGAATTATTAAGACTAGGGACTGCCATCCCTATCCTAAGAGAACACCTTTGCTTCCAACAGTTTGTTCTTGATTGGTAGGTATTCTCAAACCCAACAAATGTTTCAAAGTTTGGAAGTGCAGACTTCCAGCAGCAGCTCTCCAATCATACTGATGGGACAAGCAGTGTTAAACCAAGGGTTCACCACTACACCTCCTTCCCAGCCATCTTCTCTGCCACCTATGCAACTCCAGCACCAACAGCATCAGCAACAACGCTACCTGCAGGTAGGACAATGAGGGTGATGTATAAAATGTACATGCAGAGTAATAAGGTGAATGGGCTGTGCAAACGGGGCTCCATGTGTCTACTGGAACGTGATCCTGGCAGAAATGTCCATTTTAGAGACAGCAACATATATGAGACACTGATACAGTGTCATGTAGCAGTATAGCAAGGGAGCAGTGAGAACAGTCAGAATATTTAAAGGGAAATTACTAATTCTGTACATTGGAAGCATAATCAGATTATCCTGGATATATTTAAAGTTTATTTCTAGCTGGAGAAAATTGCTGCCTTAGGATTTATTCTGTACTCTTTATTCAGTATAAAATTTGCTTATTTTACAAGTCAAAAGATGATTTTTAATTACTAGCATCAACATAAAATGAGATCTGGATCAGATATCTGGATCCCTTCAGTAAATTAACATATTTTCTCAACTCCACAAGGCAAAGAAGATAAAGTTGAGCTCATTGCCTGGAAGAACCAGGTGATTTGAAGATGTAGAAATATTTATTTTTTGACCCAATTCAACACATACTACAGTAAAGGGGAAGGGGGGAAAGGAGGTGTCTGTTTGTTAACTCAACAGGCGCTGAACTGAGTCTATAAAACCTGGTCATGTATCCACTGGCATCATTGAAAGAGTATCACCAACCTCAAATGATTAAGCTCTTGTTATTGAAATAAAATCCTTATCATAGCTGAGAATTAATGAAAAAAAGTATGACAGATACTGTTTCCATAAAAGCATCTGCAAAATTCACATTGACTTTACCACTGCAAGGTCACACCCTACTGTAAACTCACAAAAAGGAAGGGCTAAAAGGGACAGCATGAAGCACATTGGGATCCCTGTTTCATTTTTGTTTCATTTCTGTCATCCGTGTCATTTCTGACATGTTTGCCCACCCTGCTCCTAAACAGGCTTTTCAGAATAACCTGCAAATCTCAGGCAGTGCAATCCTAAGAGAAAACCTTTCTCAGTGCCTAACTGGAGTGTTGTTTGTTGCAATCTATGTCCATTCCTTCTAGCGTTAGTTAAGCTAACCTCATGCCAAACAGCTCCAGAAATTAAAGCCAACACCCTAGTAGTATTTTTAAGCATCCTGCACATTGAGGATGTACATTAAACATGGGAAAGAATCAAACACCACAATAAATTTTATTTTATCTGTAGGTGCAAACACCAAGTTCTTTGCACAATGAACAACCCGATTCTTTGCTCCTGCCATCTTACTCACCACAGCAAGGAAATATGGGGTATCATCAGACACAACAGCAGCAGCAGCAACAGCAACAACTAACATCAAGAAGAAGGAATAGCTTATCAGAATCATCAAATTTACCACAGCCACTGCGATAGAGTCCCACCAGCACAATCAATGCACGATTAGCTTTAACCAATGGGCACATGGGGCAGAAGAGAATGACTTTGTACTTACTGTTCTGGCTTTTGCACAAGCATTTCTTTCAAAGCTCTATGACAGAAGTACGCCACAGAGTGCAGACTGCAACTGACAGCGCATTCACAGCACGCTGGATTCAGTTTGCGCTATCTCGTGAGCACAGTATGTACTGACAGAGCAAAACAAAGAGGAACACTACCCTGTGCAGCCTCTATCACCAGTGAGTGCACAGGAGAAGGCGTTCAATCTCAGCATGTCATTCTGAAAGCTATCTGGCAATTCCAAAAGACTGTTGGCAGACTCATGAGGTATTTGGCCTTCACTGTTTCAGTTCTTCTTTTGTGTATGAAAAGCACTGCGTCAAAGGTCTATTGAGGAGAGAACAAGAGATTATTTTTATTATGATTATTGTTATTATTTTGCACAACTGCACAGAGGACAAAACCTAGGCACTTTCTGTAAAGAGAAGTTTGTTTCTTCATTCTTGTGGCCAAACTAGCACATCCAATGGAGGAGAAAGCCCAGCCATTGGTGAGGATGGTCTACAGCTCATAACCCTTGATTTAGAATCTGAAAAGTATTATGCAGCTTACCCTAACTGTTCTTCATTACGAAACAACCAACCAAAAAAACAAACCCACAACCCACTCTGGACTGTTTCCTACATGAATTGTGATTGCAAAAGAGAACTCAAATTGTAAGCACAATCATGCAACTCTCCAGTAGTACAACATGAATCCTTCTTCAACCCATGAATCCTTCAACCTCGCCCACTCCAAGTCTCTGAGAAATATGCACTGTGTTTTGGCCCAGTGACTCGGGATGCTGCAGACTATTACATATCTCTTTCATTGTAACATTTAGGATTAAATTTTCCTTTGAAGGAAAAAAAAAAGAAATGCACTTTTCGCTTTTTTTGTATGTTTTCCGTTGATATGTTTCTAAGAAAGATTTTATGTAATTATTAAATAAAAAGTAGTGTATTGTACAGCTGTTGTAATAATGACCTATTTCTATATAAAATAAAATTATATGGAATTATGTGGAAATTATTTTGTATATGAAATATCAACTCATTTCACAAGTATAAAGATTGTGCTTGTGCTTTTTTGTGAGTGGGTATTTTGTAATAAACTAATTAATTAGAAATGTTTTTGTGAAGGGAACTGCTGTTTCATGCTATATACAACTCAAACTATTATTTTTCCATTTAATGATGGACAGTTGTCTTTATTTGTAGAATAAAATAAAATAGCCAAAAGGCTTTATTGCAGGACTTGCACACATTTTCCTGTGACTGTTCAACTATGTGATTCAGTTTAGACTTTTTATCTTAGCCGTAGCCTTGCATGGTGTTTGGCACGTGGTTAGCAAAAACAAGTATTATCCTATGGGATTTTTGTCATGGCATAGACTCTGAGAATGATAGCTCAGGAAGTTATATTAGCTGCTAGCGAAGACAGTTCATTTTAAGCACCTTTAAAACTTTAAAGACCTCAGGCAGCTCTGTTCTTCCAACCAAACAGTTTTATATTAGGACAAAACGGATGGTTTAAAGAACAGTTTGACCCAGTACACACAAGGGCTTTGAATCATGTCCAGCTTTAGTGTTTTAAGATATTGCTGTCCTGAGTTTTGTGACACATCTCTTCTGGAATGCTCACGCTGTAGACAGTCTGGTTTCCACTTTAGCATCCTTGTGCAGACTCTTTTTAATATTAAATTCAAATTGACTACAGGATGGAGCAGATAGGGTATAGGTCTGCTTTCCTTCTGCTGACTCTGCTGCAGGAGCAGCAGCCTCCAACGCAGATTGAGGTGGATAACTGAGCATAGTAATGTCTTCATTCGCCACAGCAGGACTGAACGGGGATGGCCCTCAGGGCAGCTTGCAGCCACTGGAGCCAGCATTAGCTTCAAGAGAGTGCAGTCATGCCCTTCCCACCCTTCAGTACCGGGATCACATCACCAGAGACCAGCGTGTTCTGGTTTCTGTGCCATAGAGGAACAATGGAGGTAATCGGACTGGCAACTGGAAATAGTGAAAGAAAACATTTCAAGAAATGAAAATGTTCATTTGCCCTGAGTTCTGAAAAAGTTAAAAATCTCCCGAAGAAAACCCACTGGCAAAATGACCTTGTTGCTTTGACAGCAAAACTGGGTGGTAGCACTGATCAGTGCATATGTATTTCAGTCCATACAACTCCGCAGGTTTATTTCATTGAAAGAAGATAAGGGAATCAAGTCTATTCTCTAGGAAGTGTTTAGCTAATAGATCTGGTCTGTAAGAAAATGTTTTTACTGCCATCTTTAGGTACCTGTGTGAGTTAGCCGACTCATCTCTTTAAATTCTTGTGTTCAGTGAAGCAAGAGTGACCCCACCAGATGAAGATTAGAAAGCTAAATCCAAAAGTTTCACTTAATGTCTGAAGGAACCTCCCTCTTTCTATAAACTATAGACAAACCTAAGTGAAGCACAGTTGGCTAAGTTGGAGGCTAACTTTATAAATTCCAGCCACTCCTGTAAGGCCTTATCCTGGGAAAGGGGAGGAGAAATCTGTAAGTTCAGGCAGGAAGAGGTAACAAAGGAACATGAGTACCTCCTAAGAAAAACATGTGGAAGCAGCAGTTGATGGATCTCAATCACTGTGACAGAAGTCCCAGAAAGGGAAAATTCCTTTGTTTTACTCTCAGAGATAATACACCCACATCTCTCTCTCCCAACTGCCCGTGGTATGTCCAAACCATGCTCAGCCTTGAAGCACTTATCTTTTCTAAAACCAGCAGCACTGTAAGCTGTTAACAGAGAGAAGCTGCAAATAGTGTTGGGTTGCCTTCTTTATTTGCTTATTACACTGTTTGGAAGGATATGAAGTGGTTGCAAGAGCAGATTTATGTCAAGACCCAGTTTTTCATGATCTGTCTCATTTCTTCCCTGTACACACATTCTGGTTTGGGATTACTGTACTTGTTCCCTGTTGCACACACAAGGCAATGCTAGTTCTCTTCACAGAGATGGGCTGTTGTTTTAGTTCATTACAGCCGAGATCCAGCTTGTTCCAATATAATCCCTCAGTTTGGGCCGGTTTTCCGAGTAGGTGGCCAGGCGGGGTGCTTACAGCAGGCCACTGCTCCATGCCGAGATGCTTCGCTTCTGTCTCGGGAACAGGAGCTACAGATCTGAAGGGGGGAAAACGTTTGCTAGAAGCACAACTGCGCCAAGCTGAGCCCACCACACAACTCACAGGAGAGAGGCTAAAGAGGGCGCGGGCACCAAACCCCGCCGGTACCGGCACACAGACTGAGCACCCCCGGTACGGACACACACGGACACACAGACTGAGCACCCCCGGTACGGACACACACGGACACACAGACTGAGCACCCCCGGTACGGACACACACGGACACACAGACTGAGCACCCCCGGTACGGACACATACGGACACACACCACACCACGGGGTAACACGGTGACACACAACACACGGGCCCCCCCCGAACACCCCCACACGCGGCCAACCAGCCAAGCCCCCGCCCCTCAAAAAGGCCAGCCCTCGCCCGCTGACGCCCTGCTTCCGCGGCGCCGGCGTCAGTCTGTTTCCTGCACCTCTTCGTCCCGAAAGGGTCCTGTTTCCCGGATGCCTACGCGGCGCTCCTCTTCCGGCCTTGTGCCGGGCCAGGCGTGAGTTGCTGGTGGGGGCCCGTCCCGCCTAATCCGCCTCCATTCTCCCCGCAGACCCCGCGGCGCGGGTGTCGCCTGGCCCGGTGGGGCGGGGGGCGGGCCCGGCGCGAGGGGCAAACCGGCTGGGAGCTCCCGGGCGGGCCCCCGATTCGGCGGGAATGGGGCCCATTCCTGCCCTCCCCCCCGTCTCTCAGGCCCGGGGAGGCCTGCGGGACAGATGGGAGGTGGATACGGCCCGTGCTGTCAGTCCCTAGAAGGAACCGCTTAGGCATCGTCATGTTCCTTCCGGGCCGGGCTGAGCTGCCCTGCCGGCTCTCCTTGAGGAAGGAGGGCTTTGGACACACAGAATGGGGACGGGGCCATCGTAGGAGCGCTTGGGGCTGGCCGGGAGCCCGCTCTTCATGTGAGGCGGTCATAGTATCGGGTGTGCTTCCTGCGCCTCTCAGGCAGATAGAAGTAAAACACTTGTGATACTGGAAAGTTGCTGCGTGTAGCCTGCGACTGGTGCGACCCGGGGGTTAATTAGGTTTAGGTTTACAGTTCCGAATGTGGGAGTTGTGTGGTTCGTAAGGGTCTGGGGAGGACGGGAAAAGTCCCGAGGGAAGTTGGTTTGACGCGTGTACGGATGTTTTTCAGCGTTGCTCAGATGGCTCCTGCAAAGAAAGGCGGCGAGAAGAAGAAGGGGCGCTCTGCCATCAACGAGGTGGTAACGAGGGAATACACCATCAACATTCACAAGCGGATCCATGGCGTGTAAGTTGTTGTTATCCCTTATGTTAAGTGGCATTTGGATGCGGCTTCGATAGGTTTTAAAGGGCAAAGGAGGACTGTCCTTACTGCATGTTGTTTGCGGTCTCTTGTGCCTCGGTTGTGTCCCTTGGAAGTAGCTCTGTACCTGTGCAGCGCCACACTTTGTGTGTGGCTTTCTTTGCTGGTGAGTGTTCCAGGACTTGAATTTGAAGGTAGATCTATTTACTTCTGTGCACAGGTTGTCATTCTTTCCCAGGCAAATGTTTAAAGTTTAGCCCACTGATTAAGTTTTAGAAATTATATTGCTGTAGTCAAATGATTGGCTTTGTGCTTGTCGTGAAGTCATGTGAGGTGTAAATTCGGGTATGATTTGAGTTAAAAGGATATTTGTTGTGTGTAGATGGAATTTTACCTGATAAAATGTTGAACCTCGTAAAACCGTGTAGTAGTGAAGTATTTGAGAGGAAACTGCATCACCCTTGCATTCTGTGTATGGCTGCAGTCATGTGGAAGACACAAGCTGAATCAAAATGATTGGGGAAATGGCTGAATTTAACTTGGAGAGAAATGAGGCAGTGAAATATTGTAAAACCATGGGTGAGAAGGGGAGGCAGGGGTATTTTTTAATTGGTGGTAAGATGTTCTGGCCTTGCCTGTTGATTGGCAGTTCAGTCTGTTTTAAGGCAGATGATCCTGCTATCCACTTTTCTTTTTGTGTTATCCACTTTTTGTGCATGGTGTGTGCTAGGGCTGCAATGCTTTTTGTTTAATGCTTGTCTCACTTGTGATCATGCACCCACTTCCCATTTCTAACACTAAATATCAACAGCGATGTGCAAATAATACTAAATATAACCCACTGTGGGACCTGAGGCACTACTGATACAGCTTCATGTCACAGTGTGAGTATAACATATATGGCAAAACACTCACAGTGCAGCTCTAACTTCTGTTGTGAATGCCCAGTCCTGCAGGATCTATCCATAATGGGCATGAGACAAGCTATACTGGTAAAAAAAACCCAGTTCTGATGGTGGTACTGGTGCCATCCTGCTGGCATGAGAGAAAGTAAGTACTGAGTAGGAGAAGCTGTTATTCAGAATAATGTCAGTTTTATTCTTCTGCAGTTTATTTTAATACTGTTACGGTTCTGTCAAGTTTGTATTACTGTTGTTGCACTGCTTTTCTCATAGACCTTCTATTCAGTGTCTGAAACCTCTGATCTCTCCAGTAATGTTGTGATCTTCCAACACACTGACATTAAAACTGAAGGCTTAAGATTCAGGAGATCTTGGGGTTGCATAGTTTTACTGAAATTATTCTCCCTAAGTATACGAGGTTTCTGTTAGGCACAAGGTTAGTATCTGCCTACCGGGGTAAAAGTGTAGTCATGCTGTGATGCAGCTGTTTGTCTGCTGTTGAACACAATTCTTTAGGTTGTGTGTTTAGAGAACACCAGCGAATGCTGCAACATGCAACATTGAATGCTGACAGTGTCCTGAAGTTAAAGAAATGGCTCTTGTGTTTGTCCTAGGGGCTTCAAGAAGCGGGCACCACGCGCTCTCAAGGAGATCCGTAAGTTTGCGATGAAAGAGATGGGAACTCCCGACGTTCGCATTGACACCAGACTGAACAAAGCAGTCTGGGCTAAAGGAATAAGGTGGGTTTCTGCAGCTTTCCTTACTGGGTGTGGAAGGACTTGGAGGGGTAGAAACATTTGTATGCTTCTTGCAGTGTTTGCATTTTCTTTGCAGATGCGTTTTTTCTTACAGCATACATGCCAAGCTAATCTTTCTGTCAGCTCTGTATTCTGGTCAGTTCTCCCAGCATATTTGTAGCAAAGCTTTGGCAAA